ATTCTAATAAGAACAGAGATGAATTTAAAGGAAAATATGCATTACATATTTTGAAATATTTTTTCCCCTTTGCTTGGCACAATTAGAAAGCTAAACTACCTGGAGAGGGAACTCAGGAAGAAAAACACAAACTTGATTTAAAAGAGTTTCAGTAATAGATTAATCTGATACTGGGGTCATAAAAAGTTGTCAGGAAATATTGCTATTTCAAGTTTCTTCAACTGTACATATAAATAGTCCCAATCTAGCAATCACATAATTCAATTGAAGGATTGCAATATTGGAAAAATACAACACATGCACACACACACACACAAGATGTGTAGCAGTCTGACATTTTATTTTCTCCTCAAATCAGCTCAAGTATTTATTATCAAAATTCAGTTGCTTAAGCTACAGGATACTGGGATAGAAAAGAGTGTAAAACATAACCTTGTCACCTCAAAGGAAGCTCTCAAGTAACGTTTTTAATAAATAGCTTAAAGAAACTGAATCATGAAGGCTTTTTATTTTCCTAAAACAGTGGAAGTAAATTGAGATGTAGGAATTCAGGAAATTTTAAAATGGGAAATGTAAAATGATATTGAAACCAACAGTTCATAATTTATGTGTATATGAACTAGCAAAATAAGTGAGGCTGTGAACACTTTTATATGTGGTAGACACTCATATATGTCCATTTATGTTTACAGGGAATATATATATATATATAATTTAAGAATATTCGGGAACAAGAAAGGGATAGAGGAATAGAGGACATATATCAAAACAAAACTTTAACAGTTCTTCAGAGGAAATACTCCTACAGTTGAGACAATTTATTAAAGTTGTATCAAGCAACAGCTAATATTATTTCTGTTATTCAGGTTTTCAAAAGTTAACAATAGGGGTTGGTGCTGTGGTGCAGTAGTTTAATCCTCCACCTGCGGCGCCAGCATCCCATATGGGTGCCAGTTAAGAGTCCCGGCTGCTCCACTTTGAATCCAGCTCTCTGCCACGGCCTGGGAAAGCAGTGGAGGATGGCCCAAGTGCTTGGCCCCTGCGCCCGCATGGGAGACCAGGAAGAAGCACCTGGCTCCTGGCTTCGGATTGGCAAAGCTCCGGCGGTTGTGGCCATCTGGGGAGTGAACCAACAGAGGGAAGACCTCTCTCTCTCTCCCTCTCTCTGTCTGTAACTCTACCTCTCAAATAAATAAATAAATAAAAGTTAACAATACATAACAATTCCAGTAAAAATGAAAGACAAGATCAAATAATGGTGGCCGCCATTGCCAGCTTGACTCATTAGAAGAAATTTGCAGGATGTAAGTTTTTCATATAAAATACGTTTAAATGTTCTGAATGTCTTGGTAAAGAATAGGAAAAAGAATGAAACACTCTTTTGCAATACTGTTGGTAGAGATATTTTATAACATAAGTGAATAGTTTTCATCAAGTACTATTTGAAGTTATTGACATGTGAATATCCTAAATATGAAATAAGTTTGACAAAAATAAATGGCTATTAATACATCTGATGTCTGAAGGTATTATATTTCTCACGAAGGTGTCCCATGACTTATAAAATTATATGTTAATAAACTATTATAAACATGCATACAGACTTGAAAAATTCCTCATATTTATGCTATGGCTTAGGAGAGACTTTTACTTTCAAACTTGCCTCATGAGGTTTTGCTTGACTCCAAGTTTTCTTTGTGATTGTTATTTCAATTAGTATAACATATAAAGATGGCTTGAAACATCCTAACTTTCACTGATATCCATGTGAGGCAATTAAGCCCGTTTGGACACAGTGTCCTAAATCATGTCTCAGTCAATGCAATCTGATTTGGGATAATAACATATTTCTTTGCCTGATGCTTTCCTCAGAAGTGCACTGAGGCAAAAGACAGGTGGTGAAAGTTCCATTTTTTTCAACATCTTCATAACTTGGTTGAACATGATGAATTAGCTAGTTTATTGATTTAGGAATGATCAGCAATATTACTTTCCCTAAAGGAATATTAAGATGATTCATAACAGAATCGAAACCTGATTTCTAGCTCCTCATAAAAATGTGCACAGTTTATGAGTTTGACTCCCTTTGATTTTTCATCCTAGAAACATTTTCTTTGGGGGCAGGTATTTGGCCCAGCAGTGAAGACATCACTTGGGATACTCTCATCCTGTATCAGAGTGCCCGGGCCTGAGTCTCAGCTCTGCTCTCCGTTTCAGCTTCCTGCTCAAGTGCTTGGTGTCTTCCATCCAAGGGGGAGCCCCAGATGGAGTTCTCAGCTTCCTGTTTTGGTCTAATCTGGACTTGCTACTGGGGGAACTTGCGGAGTGAATGTATGGATAGAAGATACTTCTCTGCCTTTCTGTCTGTCCCTCAGTTTCTCCAATAAAATTAATAATAAATATAACAAATTAAAAAAGAAACATCCTTTTCTGCACAAAGGGAGTTCTCAACTTTGTAGTTCCTCATGAATTTAGTGGATGGAAGTGTGTGTGTGTGTGCATGTGTGTGTGTGTTGCTGGAGAAGCCATTAAGTGTAATAGTAGAAGTTCTAGATGTGTGTTAAAATATCACCTATGCCATTTACTAGCTCTGAAGTTTTTCAGGTTAAACTGCCTGTATCTCTATTTTCATACTTATAAAAGAAGGTAATATAATTCTGAGGTCTTAAAACTTTGGTGAGAATTGAATATGCAAATACATGCAAAAGACATAGAATAGTGCCTGACATAAAATAGGTCCCTGTTAGCAGATGGTATTGTAGAGATGGTCTCCAGCTGTCCTTCCTGGGAAATTTTCCCATGTCCATTGTTCTCCACTATTTCCAGCTCTCCTCTCTGCAGGCTCTCTCTTATCCATTATCCATTAGGGGCCACATGTAAAGGGGCTAGTGGGAAACATGATCTTGGATTCACACTTTCCTCATAACAAAGTTTGTGTGGAGCAAATAGAAGGCTCTAGGGTTGTACAGTTATGAATTTCTTTAAGGTTTATTATTTATTTGATATTTATTTATACAATATGGATTTAAATTTTTTTTTGTTTATTTGAAAGAGTGGCAGAGAGAGAAGGAAAGAGAGAGAGAGAAAAAGAGAGAGAGAGAGTTCTCCCATATGCTGGTTCACCCACCAAATGGCCACAATGGCTGGACCACACCGGACCATGCTGAAATTTGGAGTTAGGAACTCCATCTGGATCTCACCAAGATTTGGCAGGATCCCAATCACTTAGGCCACAATGCTCTGCTTTCAGCTGAATCAGAAGCACAGCACTAAGGACTCAAACTGGCATTTGCATTTGGGATGCCTGTGTTGCAAAGAAAGCTTAACCTCTTGTATTAAAATGCTGGCCCTCAGTCATAATATTTTTAAGGCCAGGCTTTTTTTTCTTTTTCTTTCCTTCTTTTTTAAATATTTTACTTGGCTTATTTGAAAGGCAGAGTTACAGAGAGAAAGAGAGGGAGATGGAGAGAGAAAAAGAGATGGAGAAAGAGAGACTGAGAGAGAATATTCCATACTCTGGTTCACTCCCCGAATGGCCCCAACAACCGGGGCCAGGCCAAAGCCAAGAGCCTGGAAGTCTGTCCAGGTCTCCTACACAGGTGCCAGGGGAACTAAGCACTCAGGCCATCTTCCACTGCTCTCCCAGGCACAGTACTAGGTAACTGGATCAGAAGTGGAAGAGTAGGGACTCAAACCAGTGCCGATATGGGATGCCAGCATTGCAGGCAATGGCTTAACCTGCTACACCACAATGCTGACCCCTGGTTTCTCTTACAACACAATTCCCTTTATATATTCATAGATATTATTATAATCCCTTCAGTCACTTAAATGTGCAGTAACCAAAGACAACCAAGTTATTTTCCAAATAAAGTATCCATGCTTTATTTCATTAATTTTTCTTAACTTCCTACCTTCTCTTTCTCTGTCTGTTTCCTTCCCTCCCTCCTTGCTTCCCACATCTCTCCATCATGTAAAATAAGGGGTGCTTCTCTTTATAAAACAATGCAAGATTTAATTATAAATCCCTGCTTGTTCCCTTTTTGTTACAATGTAGAATTTGTTCATGATATTTCTTTAGGAAAAGGAACAATAATACTCCTATTTGTCCCCCAAGAATTTATTGTATGACTTTAATGTAATTAAATACACCTACATAGCAGAGGATAAGAAAATAATCGCAACACTGATTCTGAAAAAGCTGAACTCTCATCATTAATACAGTGTTTCAACATAAAACATTTTGTTCCGGTTACTATTATTGCATTGCATATCAATTTAAAACACAGAAATGGAGAGCAGTGATTTTACTATAGTTAGGATATGCTACATTTCAGAGAAAGCACAATGAAAAGATTTTGTATCTATGATGTTTGAGACCTCTGCTAGGAAGCTTGAAGTCTAGAGGTGATCCAGCACTTAGGAGAGGGAATCTTGGGGCAGTCTTGATACTCACATGGATAGTAGTTGATGCTGGCTTTCTGCTGCAACCAGAACTGTCAGCCAGGAAATCCATGGGGCCTGTCCTTTTAGATAGTCTGTGTGGGGATAATTTGGACTTCCTTACAACATGGTGACTGTTTTCTAAGACTGAGAATTCCAAGAAAATAAGAGGAAAGTGCGTGGTAATTTATATATACTTGAAGTGACAAAATGATACTTTTGTCATTTTTTAATTGAATCAGTCATAAATGTAGGCCCAGGTCCGGAAAAAGGACATAGACTACACACTTGATGGGAGGTGTGTTAAGACTGCAGGATAATAAGAGCATATAGGGTATGGGTTGATGTGGCGACTTGCTATCTTCGAGTACACATTTTATGCAAATTGGTAAATGCACGAAATATTTACTTTTCAATTTATGCCTACTTTATTCACTTTAATTGAATGAATTTGAATATAGTTATTTTCTTGTGCACATTTATAAACTTATCTTTCCAAATGGCTTATAGATTTTTTGAAAGTAATGTAACCAAATAAAATGTCAATATATTTTCAGATATCCCGACACAGACGAAATCATTCACAGCATGTCTTGAAAGATGTCATCCCTCCACTGGAACAATTGGTGAGTAATTATTTTATTCCAATACTGTTTTCTTTATCTACAGCTACAAAATTAATTATCTCAACATTCAGCAACTTAAAATGACAAAAATTAATGTCTCGTGTTTCTGTGGCTCAGGATTTAGGCATGAGTTAGTCATGCCCTCTAGTTAAGAGTCTCTAAAAGTTTGTAGTCATGATGTCAGCTAGAAATAGAGTCACAGCTGAAAGGGAAATGCCTGCTTTTATGCACATTTACATGGCTGTAGGCAGGACTCAGCTCCTCCAGGTCTATAGTACAGAGGCTGCACCTGACTCTGCTTTGTGGGCTTCTCCAATACAGCAGTTTGCTTTCTAAGTGGAAAAGTGAGAGTCTGATAGCAAGGCAGAAGTCACAATTCCTTGTAATACAAACATGGAAGTTAGCTCCAGACAACTTTGCCACATTATCTTGACCAGAAGCAAGACATTAAGTCCAGTACACATTTAAGGGGCAGAGAATTACGGAAGAGTATCGATAACTAGAAGCAGAATTGATTTGGAATCTCTCATTCCTTGGTTCATTTCTCTTACTTTCCTTTGATTTGCATGTTCTAGATCCCTCATCCCTACCCCAGCTGTGGCTTCAACTCTCTGCTTTCATTTATGATAAGATTTTCTCAGGAGGATTGTGTTTGCTGTCTGTTGTGTCCTTTCTTCATCTCTTGAAACAACTCATTTTGGCTTTTATTCCAATCACTCATCTTTTACCAGGGTCACTAGTTGCATCCATATTGTTAAATCTATTGGTAAACTTTCAGTTCTCTCCTTGGTAGAGCTACCTGAGTGTTTAAATCAATAGATAACTCTTTTGTCTTTGTTTTATTTTAATTTTTATTTTATTTACTTGAAAGGGAGAGAGAGGGAGGGAGGGAGAGAAAGAGAGAGAGAGAGAAAGAATCTCCTCTTCTCTGGTTCAATCTCCAAATGTCTGAAAAAGCAGGGCTAGGCCAAGCTAAAGCTAAGAGCAAGGAGTTCAATCCATATCTCCTACATAACTGGCGAGGATCCAACTACGTGAACCATAACCTGCTACATCCCAGAGTGCACATTAGCAGGAAGCTGGAATAGGTAGTAGAGCCAGAACTCAAAAACCATGCACTCCAACATGAGATACAGGTGTCCCAATGGGAGGCTTAACCGTTATGACAAATACCCACCCCCTTTTTTAAAAAATATTTTCTCCACGTATCTCCCAGTTAACTACTTTATAATGGATTTCCAGTGAATTAAGTGGTCCTTCCTTTCCCACCACCCCTTTTCCTCCTTCCTCTTCATCTTTCAGTCCACAGTCTTTCCCTTGGGCACCACACTCAGTATTAATGGCTTTATATACATTGCTGCAGTAACCACTGTAATTTCTTTCTCAACATGGACTAAACTCCAATGCTATGTGTTTAGCATTTTCACCTACATACCTAACACACATCTCCTTGTCATTCACATGGTAGATCTTAATTGAGTTCCTTGCTCTCACCTTGGCCTAACCTAGATCTGGCTGTTGCAGACATTTTGGGAGTGAATCAGTGGGTGGATGACTTCTGTGTGTCTTTATATGTCTATCTCCCTGCCTTTCAGTAAAAACAATTAAAACAAAAACTTTTTTTAAAATCCTAGACTTAACATATCCTAAAGTAATCCTGATTTTGCCCAAATTGGCTTCTCATATTCTCCATTTCGAAAGATTCTAAAACCATTTTCCCAAGTATTGGAGTCAAAACCCTTAAAGTTATATTTGATTCTATAATTTCTTTTATAGCATAAACTTAACCATCCATGAGCTCTGTTAGCTCCATCTTCAAAATATACTTGGGATAAGTTCACTCCTTTGCATCTTCATACTGTGTAATCTGTCACATGGTTTACTGTAGTAGCCTCCTCTCTATCTGCTCACTTTCACTCCCTCTATTAATATTTTTGACATAGCTGCCAGAGTGATGCTCAAATGTGAGTCATATTATGTCATTTTCCATAGTCAGTTTGAGCTGCAATAGCATATTACCATTAACAGGATGGCTTGTAGACAACAGAAAATTTGTTTCCCACTGTATTGAGGTATGGAAGCCCCAGATCATGCATGGTATGGCCATGGTTAGATTCTGGTGAGGTTTTCTTCCTGGCTAAAGAATGAAGTCTTCTCATTGTACCCTCACAGAGCAGAAAAAGGGTAAGTGAACTCTCCTAGGCCCTTTTCATAAAGCTACTTATCTCATCTGTAAGAGCTCTAGACTCACGACCTAATTCTCTCACAGGTCCCACCTCCTTCTTCTATCTAGTTGGTGGTTAAGCTTCAACATATGGATTTGAGCAGATTTAAACATGCAGTCCATAGTATCACTCCTTTGCTCAAAATCCAACCTGGCTTCTTACCTAAGAGTCAAAGCTGAAAAGCATCCAGTGTCTCACCAGAATCTGTCGTTCCCAGCTGGCTTCCTTTCTCCTGGATCATTGTGCTCCATCCAGGCTGATACTGTTATTCTCCTGCAAGGCCATTTCACTTGCTTAATCCACAGATTATCACAAAATAACTTATTTTATGCCCATAAGTTTGTTAAATTTCACCCACTTATTTCCTTTATATCTCTGCTCTAATGTCACCTATTAAGAAATGTCTTCTCTAATTTCCCTTAAACAAATAAAAAACACCCACTGTTTTTAACCGTCTTCCTTCTTTCTCACCTGTATTTAAGTTGCTCTTTATTAGCTACAATCAAATGGCATATGAAACAAGTTTCTTATTTTTGTTATCACATTAAAATTAAGTTCCATGAAGGCAGGTACATTGTCCCCTGTGTTCATTACATTGGTTTCATGATGGTAGCGATTGCTGAAACACAGATATAACACAATGCATATGTGTTGAATGAATCCCTGAGTTAAAAGCTGAAAACCTTTGTTATTACTTTAAAGCTTATGACATGCAGATCTGTACTTTCTCTCCATTGTCATATCCCACGTCTTCGAGAGCTAGTCATTCGGACTAGAACTTCTCAGTGTGAACCGAGTGAAATTTCCCACATAGACCCACTATCAGTTTCTTTCCAGAAGACTGATTTCCTTCTCTATCAAGCCATTCTCTCTCAGTAGCAAAATTTTTTATGGCTTATAACATACCTTCTTTCGATCTTTCATTTCTTCTGTGACTCTTCATATCATCACCATTTTTTGACGCAGTTTCTCCTCAATGGCTGTGGGGCAAATGCTCTGTGTCACTCCACTCAGGTCTTTAAAAGCTTCCAATCTCACCCACCCGATTCCACCTTTCTCCTCCCTCTCACTAATCTGGGGCAGCAACTCTAGACTGATCTTCCTTAAAGAAAAGTCTTTACTATTTTCTTTCCTTTCTCAAAATTTTCAATAGCTTCTGATTCTCAATAGCATCAAGTTAATCAACTTCCGTGATCCCTGAACTGTGTTATATATAATCTATTTCCAAATATATATCATGAATCTGATGATAATAACATGATTAAGACATGGTCTTGACCCTGAAAGACCTTGGGTTTTCTGTAGCAATTGTATTTCCTCACTGCTGTATACACCTATACACTATTTCATTCTCATTACATGAGTAAGACTTGTTCTATGTCTGTACTTTAGATGCCTTGAAGTTAGAGGTCACCATTTGCATTTTCTTTATCATATTGTGCTGCTTCTTATATTCCATTTGGCAGAAGTATTTGTTCAGAAAAGAATTGTTTGTTGATTGATGTGATAATAAGATAAAAAGATTTATTAAAATAACATTGATTGCCAACATTAATAAATGTATTTGTTATTCATAGTGAAAGCAATATAATTAAATATAAATGTATCATGCTTTTAAAATTAATTACCCTGGTCTCAGCTTTAGGAGAAAGAATTTTTGCTGGGAAATATTTATCTGATTCTTCAAATTTGCATTAACTAATACTTTTTTAGTCTGACTGCCAATGACAGCTTAGCCTCATCTCTTTGCCTGCCCTGTTACATGGAAATGGCCTGTTTCATTTCGCATGAATCTTCCTGACATTTAAGGTATTTGAATGGAATGCTAGGCTTTAATCACTTATTCATTATTAGAGCTTTGTATAAAGCCAGGCACTTTATAGGTGTGCGATGTATAGGAAATTAAGTACATTGTTTTGTAGTCACATCTTGTATAAATTTGAACTAAAGAACAACTAAGGTATACAAATAGTTATAAGGAGCTGTATTTTAATAGTCATGAAAAATTTTACTCTGAAATATTTAGTGACACAAAGTATTTGATGAAAATGGAGCCTGGTAAGATAGAGGCATCATAATGCCTGATTTCAAAGCATACTGCAAAGCTATAATAATTAAAACAGCTTGATAACTGGCATAAAAACCGACAGATCAGTGGAACAGAATAGAGATCCCAAAGATTAATCCACATACATACAGCCAACTGAATTTTGACAAAAATCCTCAGACCATACAGTGGGGTAAGGATAATCAAACAATGGTGCTAGCAAAACTGGATGTATATACGTAGATGAATGAAATTAGATCCATACCTCTGACCATATACAAAAAAAAAGAAAAAAAATCAACTCAGGATGGATCAAAGACCTAAATTTAAGACCCGAAACTATAAAGTTGCTAGAAGAAAATTATGCTTATAATTTAAATTTGAACTGTAGCTATTATCTAGTTTATAGTTGTGTACATACTATGTCCACATATATAACATAGGCTAATATTAGAGAAAACTTTAGAACAAACAAAAATAGTATTGCTTTTTTTTTTTTTTTTTTGACAGGCAGAGTTAGGCAGTGAGAGATAGAGAGACCGAGAGAAAGGTCTTGTTTTTTCCATTGGTTCACCCCCCAAGTGGCGCATTGCGGCCAGCATGCAGTGCTGATCCAAAGGCAGAGGCCAGGTGCTTCCTCCGGGTCTAGCATGTGGGTGCAGGGCCCAAGCACTTGGGCCTTCCTCCACTGCACTCCTGGGCCACAGCAGAGAGCTGGACTGGAAGAG